AAAAACTTTTGGAAGTGATATTGTAGGCACAAACAGGAAGTGCATCCTAAGGGTTTGAAACACAACGGCAAATCGTCTTCTCCATTGATTACATCCATTTACAGCCCACCCCTCTCCATCAGAGCAGAAGGTGGAACCTAGAGGTTTCTCTAAGCTTGTTAAAATAGGATTCTAGCAAAAGATTTGGCTAACAATGGGTCCTGGTGATCCAGAGGGGCTTCTCGGAGTCCAAGGTCTAAGGAAGCTGACGTAGAGCCACTGAAAGGCCAATGAAAGATCACACTCTCTCCCTCACGCTCATCTGTCTTTCCTGATCTGGAACTCTATTGCATTTAAGCTATGCTTTGGGTGAAAAATCTGAAAATAAGACTAGAGGTGAAAGATACTGAGAATGACAAGTTTCTCGGGGTGGGGAGGTGCTAGTTGGGAGGAGGAAGAGGGTCTGTGGGGTGGACCTTGCTACTTGGAGACGGCAGATTTGGGTGAACAACAGCACAGTGACCCAGGAACTTGGAATTCCCTGCTGAGGGAATTCCCTGGGAAAACTAGGAGATAGTGAGGAAATGAGAGCTCTGAGGCTTGTCAGCTTCACGAAACTGCCTGAGGTTAGGTGCCACCCAAGCAACTGAGCATTAGAATTTCTTTTTTTTTAAATGATCTCAATGTTTTAGAATTATTTGTGCTTGATTGTGATCCAGCACACAACTGATTTTCATAAACATTTCACACATACTTGAAAGGAATCCAAAGCCAGGCATGATGACTCATGCCTGTAATCTCACTATTTTCGGAGGCCAAGGTGGGGGGATTGCTTGGAACCAGTAGTTCGAGACCAGCCTGGGCAACATAGCAAGACCCCTGTCTCTACAAAAAAATGAAAATATTAGCCTGACATTGCAGCATGTGGCTGTGGTCCTATCTACTCGGGAGGCTGAGGTGGGAGGATCATTTGAGCCCAGGAGGTTGAAGCTGCAGTGAGCTGTGATCATGCCACTGCACTCCAGCCTGGGTGTCAAAGACCCTATCTTAAAAAATATATACGTACGTATGAATTTGTCGTTGTTGAGTATAGTTTTCTATGAATGTCAGGTCAAATTAGTTAATTATCATACTATGATCTTCTATTTTTTTTAGATTTTAGGGGTACATGTGCACATTTGTTACATGAATATATTGCTGATGCTGAATTTTGGGCCAAGTATTCGAATTTAACAAAAAATTAGCTGGGAAAAGGCATCTAACTTGAAGTACAATAAATAGCAACTTGAGATTATAAACTTTATAACGTACAAAGTATGTTTGTTCACACCTTTGTCATTTAGTTTTCATAACAACCCCATTAGATTAAGCGTGGTGGGTATTCTTAGTCATTATTTAACCCATTGTCAGGTTAAAACACGAAGTCTTTGGTAAGAAGCCCCTCTGGGAAGTGGCAGAGGCCCAATCCCATCAGTTGGTTTCAGACTTCACGCTGTAATTCTTCACAGAAGGGCGACTGCCTCAGAAAACCATTCTGTGTGGATCTGATGGAGACTCACAGCCTGACTAGTCACAGCGACTGGTGGCCAGCATCTCCAGGCTCCTGCGTCCCACTGTCAGGACCAGCCCCTCCTACCCAAAGGTCAGGCCTCATGGCTGAGCCATAAAGAGACACTCATGGGTTGGCTGGAAAACTGCTCTGGCTTCACTGAAGGACCTAGCAATGGCGAAATGAGAGCGGAGAGATTCACAGGCGATGAAAGCCAAGGAGCCCCTTCCTGGAGGCGCACTAGCACCTGCGGGTGTTAGCAAGGAGTTGGGGATCAGGCAAGAAGATGAAGGGGCATGGGGCAGAGGAACCAGGCAGTCACTGGGCCCATACAGTTTGCCACGTCCTAGGGTGGCCACACTTTCTTACCTGTAAAATAAAAAAGGTGGAAATATGCAAGTTACGTTTGAAAGATCAAAAACCTTATTCAGGAATGACTTGTGTTAGAAAGGCACCTGAACCTAGCTAACTTTCCTTAATTTGACGCAGATTCCAAATCGTAAATGATCAAAGGGCCAAGATTCCAAGACGTCTTTTCCTCGGAACAGCAGTGTAATGGGCTTCAGCAGACGCTTCAGTGTTTAGCCCATTTTAAAATGTGATGAAGAGAACTTCACAAGAAACGCAAGAGACCTGTGACCCTTTGGACGAAGTGAGCCTCCATCGCCCATGCTGGAATGTATAAGGAGTCACAAAACTCATTCTGAATTCTGAATAAGGTACATGTAACACAAAAAATTCAACTTGACATTAAACTTGTAAAATGTAGTTCATTTCCCACTGAATTGGCAAAGAAAAGCAAAGTAGGCTTTAACATTGTTCAAACATTTTTTTAAGTAGAGGTGGGATTTTAAAACTTCTAAGCCCATGAAACGATGGTGTAGGCATTTGTGAGGTTTTCAAAGAGGCACTTGATTAACTCGAACTAATTATCAGGGCAGAAAAAGGCTTCACCCCTGAGGTCTGTCAGTCAGGAAAGACCCTTCAGTTCCAAGGCCACAAGGAGTCCACGTCAATAAATGCTCAGATGACGTGATTTGAGGGAGGAACTGCCAATTCATGCTTTTCTCAAAGTGTCTCCCCCACCACCTCCCAGGAACCTCCATCCTTACTAAGCAGCTCCGAAATTCTTGGCGTTAGAAAACACGTTCAGAAAGACAGCAAAACTCTTATCACTGAACAAAACGTTAGCAAGATAAGGCTATGTTTATGATTCAGATTTTTCACCCCTTTAAATCTTATGTTAGGCAGAGCTGCTGAGAGGATTACGAAATGGGGGCAGTTGCCTGGTGGAATAGTCTCTAAAACCAGAAGCATTTGGCCTGAGAACAGGATTCAACAAACCAGTCCACCCCACAGCAAGTAATGTCTGGGCACGCACCCTAGCTTAGCATATTCGCTTATAAATTATGCCCATGAAATATACTAACATGTATCACAAAACGTGCACAATAGCCATTCTAAAAGGATAAGATTAAAAAACTACTTTATAAATATTAGTTCTAATATTTTCTTCCTGCACGCAAATGTATAATTTTGGAGAGTCTACCAAAATACTATAGGAATTAATGGAAACCTGCGTTTTAATTCAGAATATAAGAAATGCAAGTTGAAGAAAGGATGGATAAGTGAAAACAGGAAGCATGCTCTTGAGGGACTAGAAACATGTTTCTAGTTGGGGACACTGTAGACTGGACATTCGTATTGTGTTTTCTCTTGGTTTGTATTAAATTTTATCCCTTATGTTTCTAAATTGAGACGGCAATTTGAATTTACATTTATTTAAAATATTACATTTCAACTTAGCTCTCATAAGAAGAGAGCTATAGCAAAGAATAAATTAAAATTCCATATGATATTAAGAGAGAAACGGAGGGAGGAAGAAGAAATAGGAGAAGAAAGGACACCAAGGCCAGAGGTATGTGAAAATGCACACTGTCTAGGAAGAGCGAAGACAGGAGGCAGGCCATCTGTTAAGCAACTGTCACCTTAGAAGAGCCAGTGAACATAGTCCTGGGAAATTTTCAAGAAAAATTAGGACTTCTTGAGTGGTCAAGAACATCAGAGCACTGGCCGGGCGCAGTCATGCCTGTAATTCCAGCACTTTGGGAGGCTGAGGCGAGCCGATCACTTGAGCTCAGGAGTTCAAGACCAGCGTGGGCAACATAGTGAAACCCCATCTCTACTAAAAATACAAAAATTTGGTGAGTGTGGTAGCATACACCTGTGGTCCCAGCTACTTGAGAGGCTGAGATAGGAAGATTGCTTGAGCCTGGGAGGCAGAGGGTGCAGTGAGCCAAGATCATACCACTGCACTCCAGCCTCGGTGACAAAGTGAGACCCCCATCTCAAATAAATTTTAAAAAAGAACATCTGGGCATGCATGAGCATTCAGCAGCCTTGTCCGTCACAGGAAGGCAACCTGGGACCCCTAATGGGGAGACCGGGCCAGACACTGCTTCCTGCCTCCCTGGTTTCACATTTCTCCAGCTTCAACAAAGGACTGTCTTCTCCAGGGAAACCTTCCCAGCTGCTCCTAAATATAGTAGCCCACTCTCTCCTTTGTGCCACTGTTGTGCCCCATATGTACTTCTACTGTTGTTTTTTTAATGGTATTGCGATTATTAACATGAGCCTCTGACTGGAAGAACATTGAAGGCAGGGAATATGCATGACCTTCGTAGGCCCAGTGTTTAGCACAGTACATGTGATGCACACTCCATAAAAGTTGATTGAAGAAATGAACACTGAATTATGAAGGAATGGACCAATGGGATAATCCAATGATCATGGCAAATATCAACACCAAGGATGAAATGTAAAATATCATTGGAAAGTAGAAGAAGTTAAAAAAAAATTATGCCACGAATACTTTTCTAACCTTTGCAACCTGATTCATGTAATTAGGCAATTTAGCTACAACATAAACTTTTCTACTGTCCTAATGGAGTGAATCCATGTGATTCAAATTAAAGTACAAATTGGGCATATTCCCAGTTAATTTAACTAAAACAGATAGCTCATAAGGATAACCAACTTCCCAAGGAATTCTGTAATCTACATTATGGTGTTGAGTTAAAGCCTTGAGAGTTTTCAGAAAGGAAATTGCTTTGATTGTGTTTAGAATTTCAAACCAATGGCCAGGTGTGGTGGCTCACACCTGTAATCCCAGCACTTTGGGAGGCCAGGGCGGGTGGATCACCTGAGGTCAGGAGTTCGAGACCAGCCTGACCAACATGGTGAAACCCAGTCTCTACTAAAAATGCAAAAATTAGCCAGGAGTGGTGGCACATGCCTGTAATCCTAGCTACTTGGGAGGCTGAGGCAGGAGAATCGCCTGAACCTGGGAGGCAGACGTTGCAGTGAGCCAAGAACATGCCATCGTATTCCAGCCTGGGCAACAAGAGCGAAACTCTGTGTCGGAAAAATAAAATAAAATAAAATAATTCAAACCAATTTCTTGAACTTGAAATGATTGGTTCTGGCATTTATTCAAATAATACCTGTGCATCCACTAATGTGTGTCAGGTCCTAGGGTATAAAGATGAATCAATCACAGTCCCTCATCTCTAGGAACTCAACATTTATTGGGCAGGAGGGAGTTGATAAAAGACTTCAATATACAGCAATATAGCAGGCTACATATCCTGAACAACTCTCAGACTAAAGTGCTTAATATGCTAAAATATGTTTTCTTCATGCATTGCTGAAACGGCAGGTTAAAAAAATCCATAAGGCTGAAACTTTAATGAAAACAGAAATTCTTGTTTGTTAGTACCAAAAGTATCTTTCATCTTAGGCCAAAGCCAGAGCTCCTGGGCTTCTTCCTGGATGGCTGTGCAGGGCCCAAGGTGCCAAGGGGAATGGAGAAGAGGTCGAACCCCAGGCAGAGCTTCCCACCCTTTCTCATGGCTCACAAAGGCTGAGCAACATCACTTGCAAGGCTCTGGCCCAGATCCTGCATCAGTTGGAAAGTCTATGGTAGCCCATGCTCACAAAGCTAGAACTTTACTCTAATATAAGGAAAATGAGAATAAATTTGCCATGCAGAAAAGAACAATAAGGAAGCTTTGTCTTTTTCAACCTCGTCACAACATACTGTGTGATGTGGGAAATTTTAAGACACAGCCAACTTTTATGTGTGTTTACAGTCTGCATTTATACTACTCACTGAAAAACCCCAAGCTGAGATTTTAACTTGGTTTCCAGATTGTTAGTGACCTCAATCAGTTGGTAGAATAAAAGCAAATCCCAAGGGAAGAAATTCACTTTCAACTGAGACAATAATAATCCCTACAGGTGAAATTGCAAAGATATTGGCTTCTCACAATACAAAGAAATAAGTAAATACATTTTAAAAATTGCAAAGAATACAAGGGAACAAGGTACTACAGCTGAGAACCAGATAGACAGTAAAGTAAAATCCTCAAAGACTTCAGAAATTAGAACTAGCAAGGATTATAGAATAACATTTTTAATAGGATTTTTAAATACTAGAAGCTCAACAATATGATCAAAGAAGCAGGAAATCTTAAAAATAACCAAGTAAGCTTTAGAAATAAAAACATAATTGAAAATTTTAAATTGATCGGGCCCAGTGGCTTACGCCTGTAGTCTCAGCACTTTGGGAGGCCAAGGCAGGTGGATGAGTATTTTCTAATGCTGTTGACAGCTTCCAATCTTCAGATCAATGAAGCTCAGTGGATCCTTAGAAAAATTTAAAAACAAAATAGAACAATCAAAGTAAAATTACAGAATTCAAAAGGTAAATAGTTCTCAAAAGCTGGCAGAAAGAAAAAAAATAGATCAGCATAAAGGAAGGGCAATTGAATGAACTATTGACTTCTGTACAGTGGCAATGGAAGTCAAAAGCCAGTGGACGAGTCCCTCAAAGTGTAGAAAGAAATAAAATATGTCACTCTGGAAATCTTTGCCACAAGCAACTGCCTTATAAAAATGAGGGTTTTATATATATATATATATATATATATATATTTTTTTTTTTTAGACTGAATCTTAAAGGGTAAACTGATAGAATTTCATTAAAGAAAATCCTGAAGTCAGTACTTAAGGCAAAAAAAGCACTTCTGAGATGCAAGAAGGCATGCTAAACAAAGATATTATTATTATAAGTTTTAATGAAAGCCAAAAAAATTGACTCTATAAAACAATGTCTGATTTATGAGAAAAAAATATCAAAATACTGGATAACAATGCATCTAAATTGCTCTTTATATTATTGGGAAGGGTAAAGATATTAATTTCAGGTCTTGCAAGGTCAATGGCTACAGTAACTTCCAGAAAAACAAAGAGTATGTATAACTTCTAAACGATAAAAATTGAATAATAAAATATTTTTAATTTTTTGGAAGAAAGCAGGAGTGATGGATAATATTTGTTTAGCAACATTTTTTCTTCTATACTCCTCTCCGAGTATAGAAGTGGGAAGCCAGGCTCCTTGCTATCTGGCTTGCTGCTAAATTTTGCCAGAGGAAAGCACTTTTGGGGATTGAAGAGTAGGAGGGAAAATTCATTTTCCCCCTAGTGTTTGGTGGCAACAAGAGTGGCAACTGTCAGCTGGGTGGCTCACACCTGTAATTCCAGCACTTTGGGAGGCCAAGGTGGGTGGATCACCAGAGGTCAGGAGTTTGAGACCAGCCTGGCCAACATGGTGGAACCCCATCTCTACTAAAAACGCAAAAATTAGCCAGGTATGGTGGTGCATACCTGTAGTCCCAGCTACTTTGGAGGCTGAGGTGGGAGAATCACTTGAACACAGGAGAAGGTTGGAGTGAGGAGATCGTGCCACTGTACTCCAGCCTTGGCAACAGAACAAGACTTCATCTTAAAAAAAAAAAAAAAGTGGCAACTGTCAAGTGTAGCAGGCAGCATGGTTTCAACTTCATTTTCTCTTTGGCCTCTTTAGCTCTAGGAATAACAATAATCATTTTTAGTCACTAATTTTGGGGTAACCTCATACTCCCTTTCTGCTCCAGTACTTCTAATACTTTTATAATAATTTCCCTTTATGTGAAATATGTATGGTATTTTCTGTTTTCCTGACTGGACATTTAAATGATATAGTAAGAAAGAAAAAAAAAAAAAAAAACAGAACAGAAAGAGCAGGATAAATAGCACATAAGCAGATGGCATACATAAATACAAATCAGAAATCACAACAAATATAAATGGACTAAACTCTCAAGTTAAAAGACAATGTTAGACTGGATTTTTAAAAAGTAAAGAACATGTAGCTATATGCTGTTAAGCAGAGACATACCTAAAACAAGAAAAGGCTGGGTGTGGTGGCTCACACCTGTAATCCCAGCACTTTGGGAGGCCAAAATGGGAGGATCACTGGAGCCCAGGAGGTCAAGACCAGCCTGGGCAACATAGTGAGAGCCTGTCTCTACAAAAAAAAAAATTATTTAAAAAATTAACCAGGCATGGTGGTGCATGCCTACAGTCTCAGCCACTCAGGAAGCTGAGGTGGGAGGTTCACCTGAGTTCCAGAGGTCAAGGCTGCAGTGAGCCATGATTGTGCCACTGCACTCCAGCCTGGGAGACAAAGCAAGATCCTATCTCAAAAAATAAATAAGTCTCAAAAACTAAAACAAGAAGATAGAGAAATATTAATAAGTATAGGATGGTAAATCATATAATAGAAAAGCAGAAATTGAAAGAAAGTCAGCTACTTGTATTAATATCAGAGAAAATTGATTTCAAGGCAATAAAAGTACGGAGATGGATAGGGTTGACACCTAATGATAAAAGTTTCCATTGAGGCTGGGCGCAGTGACTCATGCCTGTAATCCCAGCACTTTGGGAGGCCAAAGCGGGTGGACCACGAGATCAGGAGATCGAGACCATTCTGGCTAACATGGTGAAACCCCATCTCTACTAAAAACACAAAAAAATTAGCCAGGCATGGTGGCACACTCCTGTAATTCCAGCTACTCAGGAGGCGGAGGCAGGAGAATTGCTTGAACCCAGGAGGCGGAGGTTGCAGTGAGCCAAGATCACACCACTGCACTCCAGCCTGGGTGACAAAGCGAGACTCCATCTCAAAAACAACAACAACAACAACAACAACAAAAAGTAAAAAGCATAATTTAAAAACAAAATAGAAATAAACAAATCCACAAACATAGCGAGGAATTTTTATATCTCTTAGTAAATGATAAGCCCCCCCCAAAAATAGTAATGATATAAAATAACTGAACAGCTTAAATAACAAATTTAATCCAGTGGATTTATGAGAAAGTTGTGCACTTGCTGGTTATTCTGTGTTCTCAGATCTGTTGTCTGCCCTTCCTTCCATGCTCTGTGTCCTGGGGGTGCTAACTCCACAGACGGCATCACCCTGATTTCATTAAGCTCCGCTTCCATATTGAAATCCATGTTGAAATCAGCCAAGGGGAGTCACTAGTAGATGGTCAGAGAATGGAGAAATAGAAAGGTCAGAATACATCCTCCATTTCCGGCCTACTTCAGCAACACAATTCTGGCAATGTAATGTCTCTATAACAATGGCTCCATCCTTTCACCTCCGCCTTGCAAGTAGCTGGGACCACAAGCGTGTGCCACCATACCTGGCTAATTTTTGTGTTTTGTGGTTTTTGTTTTTGTGTGTGTGTGTGGAGATGGGTTTTTGCCATGTTGCACAGGCTGGTCTTGAACTCCTGAGCTCAAGCGATCCACCTATCTCGGCCTCCCAAAGTGCTGGGATTACAGGCATGAGTCACCACTCCATGTATTAATTTTGAAAAGGCAAAAAGTTTCAAAAAAATTTTGAAAACGTAAGACTCTAGGAACAAAGCTAACAAAATATGTACTAGTCTATTGCAGGGGTGGGGGAGGGGGGAACTAGAAAATTAATAGAGGACCAAAGGAAATTGACAAACATTATATGTTAAGAATGTTTGTCCAATTTATGTATACACTGAATGCAATTGCAAGTAAAATCTCGACAGGGCATTTCATGGACTATAAGAGATTCAAAAATATATATAAAACAGTCAATAGCCAGGTGACATAGCAAGCCCTGAAAGAAAGAAAAGAAAAGAGAGAAAGAAAGGAAAGGAAGAAATGAAGGAAGGAAGGAAAGAAAGAAAAGACAATAAAATATCTAAATATCAAGATTTTTTTTTTGAATGTGGAAAAAAAACATTTCTCATGTAAGACAAAAGAGAAGAAACTATAAATAAATTTGACCACATTAAATCTGTAAACTTGTATTTCTGAGTTAGGTGGAAGACATATGCTGTTTTAATACATTACTTCCTCTACCTCTGATATGTTTCAATTAATTCATAGAAAAAAGTGAGGCACCTGTATGCGGAGACGCGTAGTGTGGGTGTAGGATCTTAACAGAGAACAAATAAAGCCTGTTAACTTCAAGCACCTACAAAGGAACATAGCCAAGGCAAGATCAGAAAGACACCAGATTTCTCCCCAAAACTCCTCAAATACATCTCTCATTACATTTATAATGTAATATATAATAATAAATCCCTCATTACATTTACATCATTAAAAATGTAAAAGCTAGCCAGGTGCAGCCATTTTACGTTTTGCATTAAAAATGTAAAAGCTGCCGGGCATGGTGGCTCATGCCTATAATCCCAGCACTTTGGGAAGCCAAGGCTGGCAGATCACTTGAGGTCAGGGGTTCGAGACCAGCCTGGTCAACATGGCGAAACCCTGTCTACTAAAAATAGAAAAATTAGTGGGCGTGGTGGCACATGCCTGTAGTCTCAGCTACTTGGGAGGCTGAGGCAGGAAAATCGCTTGAACCCAGGGAGTAAAGATTGCAGTGAGCCAAGACTGGCCACTGCACTCCAGCCTGAGTGACAGAGCAAGACTCCATTAAAAAATAAAATAAAATAAAAGTAAAAGTTGGCCAGGTGCAGCGGCTCATGCCTGTAATATCAGAATTTTGGGAGGCCAAGGTGGAAAGATCACCTGAGGCCAAGAGTTTGAGACCAGTCTGGGCAACATAGTGAAACCCTGTCTCTACAAAAGATTTAAAAATAAAAAATTGGCCGAGCATGGTGGCGTACGCCAGCTACTTGGGAGGCTGAGGTGGAAGGATTGCTTAAGCCCAGGAGTTCAAGGCTGCAATGAGCTATGATCACACCATTGCACTCTAGCCTGGACAAAAGAGCGAGATCCTGTCTCTATTTATTATTTTAAAAAAATTTTTTGGCCGGGCACGGTGGCTCAAGCCTGTAATCCCAGCACTTTGGGAGGCCGAGACGGGCGGATCACGAGGTCAGGAGATCGAGACCATCCTGGCTAACCCGGTGAAACCCCGTCTCTACTAAAAAATACAAAAAACTAGCCGGGCGAGGTGGCGGGCGCCTGTAGTCCCAGCTACTCCGGAGGCTGAGGCAGGAGAATGGCGTGAACCCGGGAGGCAGAGCTTGCAGTGAGCTGAGATCCGGCCACTGCACTCCAGCCTGGGCGACAGAGCAAGACTCTGTCTCAAAAAAAAAAAAAAAAAAAAAAAAAAATTTTTTAAGTTACAATATTACAGTAGGTAATGGTAAAGAACAAGTAGGGGATATGGAAAATATAATTGGAGAAATCTTCCAGAATATATAGAGCAGAAATAAGAGAAAATATAAAAGATAAGTTAAACAAAAAAGAATTATCATTATTATTATTATTGGCTTCTGATAACAGTAGATTAGGTAATGCAGATCAGGTCTCCAACTCCTAGGCTGGACGAAATATAAAACAATATCCACTCGAAGCCTTGAGAGAGGCCTAAAGAATTACGGGACCAACCTGGAAGAAGTAAAAAAAAAACAAAAAACAAAAAACATAAAATATATATGAAACAGTAAATAACCGGGTAACACAGCAAGCCCTGAAAGAAAGAAAATAGGAATTAAACAGGAAAATAGGAACAGGAATTCCAGAAGGAATAATTTTTGTTTTTTAATGCAGGAGAATAAACAATTTCAGACATGCAAGAAACTGAACCACCCAGCAATCATCTATTCTGAATTAACAGATGTAACTGGGAAAGTCGATCGTATGAATTGGGTCATTCTTGTCATGCCCAACTAACCCAGAGTCAAGAAGCCCGGGGTGGGCAGCTCTAAGCACACATGACATTGTTCCAAGAACTGAACTCTTCTCACGCCTGGCAGCTGAACTTCTGCTGTAACCTGAAACCAGTTTTACCTAATAGCTTCTGAAACAACATGCTGCCCCTCTAAGACTGGTTTTACCCACTTCTGTCACTAACCAATCAGAACTTGCCAGCTCCCCAAAGCTTAACTAGTGACAATAATCGAAGGTAATACATAGCATTTCTCCTTTTCATAAAATCTCCAACCTCAACTTTATTCTTCGTGTATGCCCCAAATTGCAATTCCCATATCCCAAATAAAATGTTAAATTTAGAGATTTTTCTCTACCTGTTTTATCTGACTTTATCATACACAGCGTCATCAGTAAAATCCAAAGCTGACTCACCTCAGGAAGAATTACTGGTTCTTGGAACAGCGGCGTGAGGTACCCACAGTGGAGCCTTTTGAACCCTGCTGCATCTGCAGGTGGCCTCTTCTCCCCCGCGATTTTGTTTGAGTTCCGTTTTCTTCGTGATTTGCTTGAGAAGGTTTGTCCCACTCCTGTTTGAAAGATCTCCTGTTGGGGAAAGTTATTTTCTTTTTTTTTTTTTTTTTTTTTTAATTTATTTATTATTATTATACTTTAAGTTGTAGGGTACATGTACATAACGTGCAGGTTTGTTACATATGTATACTTGTGCCATGTTGCTGTGCTGCACCCATCAACTCGTCATTTACATCAAGTATAACTCCCAGTGCAATCCCTCCCCCCTCCCCCCTCCCCATGATAGGCCCTGGTGTGTGATGTTCCCCTTCCTGAGTCCGAGTGATCTCATTGTTCAGTTCCCACCTATGAGTGAGAACATGCGGTGTTTGGTTTTCTGTTCTTGTGATAGTTTGCTAAGAATGATGGATTCCAGCTGCATCCAAGTCCCTACAAAGGACTCAAACTCATCCTTTTTTATGGCTGCATAGTATTCGGGAAAGTTATTTTCTTCCTTGACCTAAGCTCCAAAGTTTGGATGAGGGAATTTTCTCCTTCATTTGGAGAAGGCCTATCGTCCTTCCTGGGAAGTACATACTTTATTTTCCATCTGCACTTGCATTTATTTGGCCTCTGCATATTCAGTGCTTGCATTTAATTGGCTTTGTGTATTTGGCATTAAACTAGAGCACCCATAAAATGAGCTCTCAAAGTGCAAAGGCATGCCAAGATATTTTCTGAGGTTCCAGCTGGTAACATGTTCAAACATTATAGGGATCATTCAAACAGTCTGTTGATCTTAAAATTAAACTAAAAGACTATGGCTATATGATCATACGCTACAAATAGGATATGCATATTTCATTGATATCTTGAGGCTAAAAAAAATTATTCCCTTGCTACAAAATACTATCAAAGCTAGCTGAGGCTCTTTCCAGAGCTGTCTTTTTCCCTTATAATTCCTCCTCTTAGAGAATTTACCTTCTCTAACCTAAAAGCTTTTCTTTTTTTTTTTTCAAAATTCCTCAGCTATTCTGGCATATTGACTATTTAAGTAAAAACACTTAAAAATCTGCAGATATAAAAGAAAATCATTTTGACCTTCATGCTGTTTCTTAAAAGCAAAAGATGAAATTCCCTTCTAAAAGACACCTTCCCTACACTAACATGATTGTCAACATTCTTATCTTCAAGGACAGGGAATTTACTCCAAGAAAACACTGTACAAACCTTGTTAGAATTAATCTTATCTTGTGGGCCTCCTTACACAACTCAGTCACATTTTCTCAGTTAACTATTCTTTCTCCAAATCAGTATATTGGTAACTGACTCAAACTGCTTTACCTAAATTTGGTCACAGCCTTTATAAGATTGCCTATTTTGAAAAATCTTAAACTGAGAATCAGTTGAGACCAGGAGTTTCAGACCAGTCTGGGCAACATAGCAAGTCCTCCCTTCTATAAAAAAATAAATAAATAAAAATAAAAATCTTAACATTTAGCCTTATCTCATTTTGTTAGAAAAATAATTTGGGTCCAATTGTCTTTTATAAACTGATAGGCTTATATGTTTTACTATCTCACGATTAAAATTCTAAAATAAAAACTACAAAATCTTCATGTGTGTTTAGACATGTTTATGCATATATATGTATTATATCGCATGTTGTGTCTATGTAATAAAATATGGGTCAGATGCAGTAGCTCATGCCTGTAATCCCAACACTTTGGGAGGCCAAGGTGAGAAGATGGCTTGAGCCCAGGAGTTCAAGAGCAGCCTGGGCAAGATCTCTACAAAAATTGTTTTTAAATACCTGGGCATGGTGGCGTTTGCCTGTAGTCCCAGCAACTTGGGAGGATGAGGCAGGAGGATCACTTGAGCACAGGAGTTCAAGGTTGCAGTGAGCTGTGATCATGCCACTGTACTCAAGCCTGGGCAAGAGAGGGAGACCTTGTCTTTATAATTAATTAATTAATAAAAATCTGTTGTCAGAAATGTCTCAACAAATGTTATTCTGATTAGTTTAAGGAAATGAGCACTCATATAAAACATATAGTAATTAACCCAAATGGTTTTCTTTTTTTTCATTCATGTGACTTAAGTAAATATTTGATAGATTAATTGGTTTTAAAATTGTCAGTAAAATAAGATTAGAAATGTCTTCAAAATTGTCAACATACATTTTTTGCTTGGGTTTATTAATCAGACAGTTTTACATTTGCCTCTACTAGGTGTTTTAAGGTTAAAAAGCTATAAACTCAGCCTAAAATAAATGGTCTTTGTTTATATAATTATTTAATAAGTAAGATTAATTTAATATTGTTGATATGATTAAAATGGCTGCAGTTGTCAACAGGATACCCTTATTTATTTTTTTTTTTTTTTTGAGACGGAGTCTCGCTCTGTCGCCCAGGCTGGAGTGCAGTGGCCGGATCTCAGCTCACTGCAAGCTCCACCTCCCGGGTTCACACCATTCTCCTGCCTCAGCCTCCCGAGTAGCTGGGACTACAGGCGCCGCCACCTCACCCGGCTAGTTTTTTTGTATTTTTTAGTAGAGACGGGGTTTCACCGAGTTAGCCAGGATGGTCTCGATCTCCTGACCTCGTGATCCGCCTGCCTCGGCCTCACAAAGTGCTGGGATTGCAGGCTTGAGCCACCGCGCCCGGCCTGAATACCCTTATTTTTAATCTTAAGGTTTTTATCTAGGTAAACACCTGATATTAACAGGTAATCTAGGTGTAACTGTTAAAAAATAAAGAAATTAGATAATTATAAATAAAAATAAATAGTTATAAATAAACTTTTCACGTAAATGTTAAAATTATGTTATATGAAATTAAATAATACTCATTAAATATCTGGATTATAGCTAAACAAGATTTTTAAAAATGGAAACAAATTGCTAAAGAAACATAACGTCATTTTTGGCTTCTTAAATTTTATAAAAAGAGTAAATATATTTAGATCTGTTAATTAAAATATGAATTTAGGAAAAAATAATTTTGCATGAGAATTTTATGTAGTAAATCTTTGTCCTATGACAAAATAATTTGTTGTTTAAAAATAAAATTATGGGAACAAGACTGGAAGTTTTAAGAAAATGATAAATAGTCTAAACAAGTCAGAGGATTTATAAAAGATGGGCCTAATGAAGTAAGTTACATGTATAATCAGGTTGTCTGGGATTGGAAATAAATTATTTTTATAAAAATTAAACATTGGTGTCAGTGGTACAGTGACACAGGACCAGAGTCTAAACCTCTATATTTAAAATGAAAGTTTTCTTAAAGTATTGATCTGCTCTGAATTATATTTCAAGAGATTTTGATTTTTAATTTTAAAAATCTGTTTCTTTAACAGCCATCTGCTTTTTGAGATTAATTTCCCTAGTTTTAGATTTAAAAGGCTGTCCTCTTCATTTAACATAATTTTTTCATGAGCTAGAGTTTTGTTTTTGAAATTTTTCAAGTTTGTATCTCAGAAGTCTAACTTTTGCTGTATTTGCTACACATAATTTGCAGTCACACATCATTGCCTCCAACTTACTCTCCTCTTGAAAAGTCCTAGGATTATAACTCTTTCCTTCAACTTTCTTGCCAACTCCTGTAACTTTTCCCCCTCTGTTCTAACTCTGTTGCTATGGCCTGACACTGAAATGTTTATCCTGAAGACCCAGAAAAGCAATGTTTTGTTTAGCATAACTTGATTCTGTACTCCTGGCTTTTCTTGATATGTCTGAATTGTTCCATTCAACCAAGAAACTTCCCATGCTGTTACTAAAAGCCTTATATTCCTCTGCTTAAGCTGCTGGTTTTCTTGTTTACATTCCTGCATGATGTAGTGTACACTCATAATCTTGGACACATTTTTCCTCTGTCTAATTAAATTCAAGTACCCTTTTTTTTTTTCTTTTTTTAGTCAAGTTTGACTTCCAGGTTATCTAAATGAGCTTTCCACAAGGAGAAATCATCACACTGTACGAGGTTCTTTGTCTTTTTGGTAGCTGACCTAAGAAACAAAGACTTTATGCTTTACCAAGATAATTTCCTGTGTTGCCTTTAGTAGGTTTTTGATTACTTAGGAAAAGTAAGCTTGGAAGGGTTAATATTTTTACATTCATGTAACTTTCCATATTGCTTTTGAAGTCTTTCAATTGTCACTCTGGTTAAATGAATGACTATTATTTTATAGTGACCTCTGATTCTGTTTTGATCAAGTGTTTTGAGCCTTTTTTTTTTTTTTTTTTTTTTCCTTTTTGAGACAGGGTCCCACTTTGTCGCCCAGGCCAGAGTGCAATGGCACAATCATGGCTCAACGTAGCCTCAAATTCCTGGGCTCAAGTGATCCTCCCACTTCGGCCTCCCTAGTAGCTGGGACCACAGGTATGTACCACCACACCAGGCTAATTTTTTAGTTACTTGTAGAGACAGGGTTTCATTATGTTGCCCCAGCTGGTCTCAAACTCCTAGGCTCAAGTGATCTGCCCGCCTTGGCCTCCCAAAATGCTTGGATTATAGGCGTGAGCCACTACACATGACTTGTTTTGCACCTTTCGACATCTTTGACAAATGTCCCTAATATCAAATGCTAAATTAAGGTTTTTTTCACCTTGAATTAACTCTGATATTTTCCAGTCAGACCTGTGGAAAGCTTCAAAAGATATACTTCTCATCTTCTAGAGATATTAAATGATTAGGCTTATTTGGGAAATTGTGTGAAAAACATTGTCAAATGATAAATGATACTAGATCTTTTAGTTACATTTATGGGTATGCTATTTATATGTTTCTAAAATTATATAGTCATAGAAATCTAATATGCTATCAGTCAGAATTCTGGTTATCTTAAAATACTATATGTAATAGAAATAACTAAATTTCCTTGTTGATTATAAATGTTTATCAGATTTTTAACCATGACTACTCTAAGTTTTTGTCATCCACAGTTATTCTTTAAAATTCTTCTCGGCCAGGCAAGGTGGCTCACACCTGTAATCCCAGCACTTTGGGAGGCCAAGGTGGGCGGATCACCTGAGGTCAGGAGTTCAAGACCAACCTGGCCAACATGGCAAAACCCCATCTCTACTAAAAATA